GCCAGAATAAATGCCGGAAAAGATTTGCTAGACACAGATGCCAGACAGAATGCAAGAAGATATAGACGATAAAATGCTGACCTGAAGACCCTCGGGCCCGCGGGCCCGCTGCCCTGGTGAAGAAAAAGGCATTGTGAGGTTAGCAAGATTGTTTTTGCCTTGCATTGTATATGAACTACAATCAAAATGTGATGAGACGAACTGACCTCTACTTTGCGTGACAGCGCTCATGAATCGCTTTTCTGTGATTGTACACAAACTTGGAGTTTTGGAGGGAGCAACAGGCAAGGGTTCAGTCCACACGGAGAGGTTGAGATGATTTAAGTTCACTCATTTTTTGAATCTTTGTAACTTCATACCGCGTGACCATGCCCTTTGATTGAATAAAACACCATAGCGGACAGGGACTGTGCTGCCTGTATCGTGCTTCCATGTGCTTCTTTCACTTTGTTAGTGTTGTCCCTTCACCTGCATGTTCCGGGTTGTGAGATTCTATGTCAGCCACTCCTCTCCTCCTTCTTGTCCTCCTCGCCGCGCCTGACCTCAACCGCAAAACCCGGATCAGAGTGGTGCCCGCCGGACCTGGATCACAAGCGCCTGGGTGAGATAGAATGCCACAATGAAAGTGAGAATACACAATAGCCACGTATGCCAGAAAGAATTCCAAAAGAGATGCCGGATAGCATGGCAGCCTTGAATTGTCAGAAGTTATGCCAGATAGAGACATATGCCAGATAGCATGCCAAAAAGATATGCCAGATAGAACGCGCGGGTCCGCCTATGTCAGTTTATGCCAGAATATATTTGAAAATATTTGTTGGATTGCCAGAATAAATACCGGAAAAGATTTATTAGACACAGATGCCAGACAGAATGCAAGAAGATATAGACGATAAAATGCTGACCTGAAGACCCTCGGGCCCGCGGGCCCGCTGCCCTGGTGAAGAAAAGGGCATTGTGAGGTTAGCAAGATTGTTTTTGCCTTGCATTGTATATGAACTACAATCAAAATGTGATGAGACGAACTGACCTCTACTTTGCGTGACAGCGCTCATGAATCGCTTTTCTGTGATGGTACACAAACTTGGAGTTTTGGAGGGAGCAACAGGCAAGGGTTCAGTCCACACGGAGAGGTTGAGATGATTTAAGTTCACTCATTTTTTGAATCTTTGGAACTTCATACCGCGTGACCATGCCCTTTGATTGAATAAAACACCATAGCGGACAGGGACTGTGCTGCCTGTATCGTGCTTCCATGTGCTTCTTTCACTTTGTTAGTGTTGTCCCTTCACCTGCATGTTCCGGGTTGTGAGATTCTATGTCAGCCACTCCTCTCCTCCTTCTTGTCCTCCTCGCCGCGCCTGACCTCAACCGCAAAACCCGGATCAGAGTGGTGCCCGCCGGACCTGGATCACAAGCGCCTGGGTGAGATAGAATGCCACAATGAAAGTGAGAAGACACAATAGCCACGTATGCCAGAAAGAATTCCAAAAGAGATGCCGGATAGCATGGCAGCTTTGAATTGTCAGAAGTTATGCCAGATAGGCACACATGCCAGATAGCATGCCAAAAAGATATGCCAGATAGAACGCGCGGGTCCGCCTATGTCAGTTTATGCCAGAATATATTTGAAAATATTTGTTGGATTGCCAGAATAAATACCGGAAAAGATTTGCTAGACACAGATGCCAGACAGAATGCAAGAAGATATAGACGATAAAATGCTGACCTGAAGACCCTCGGGCCCGCGGGCCCGCTGCCCTGATGAAGAAAAAGGCATTGTGAGGTTAGCAAGATTGTTTTTGCCTTGCATTGTATATGAACTACAATAAAAATGTGATGAGACGAACTGACCTCTACTTTGCGTAACAGCGCTCATGAATCGCTTTTCTGTGATTGTATACAAACTTGGAGTTTTGGAGGGAGCAACAGGCAAGGGTTCAGTCCACACGGAGAGGTTGAGATTATTTAAGTTCACTCATTTTTTGAATCTTTGTAACTTCATACCGCGTGACCATGCCCTTTGATTGAATAAAACACCATAGCGGACAGGGACTGTGCTGCCTGTATCGTGCTTCCATGTGCTTCTTTCACTTTGTTAGTGTTGTCCCTTCACCTGCATGTTCCGGGTTGTGAGATTCTATGTCAGCCACTCCTCTCCTCCTTCTTGTCCTCCTCGCCGCGCCTGACCTCAACCGCAAAACCCGGATCAGAGTGGTGCCCGCCGGACCTGGATCACAAGCGCCTGGGTGAGATAGAATGCCACAATGAAAGTGAGAAGACACAATAGCCACGTATGCCAGAAAGAATTCCAAAAGAGATGCCGGATAGCATGGCAGCCTTGAATTGTCAGAAGTTATGCCAGATAGGCACATATGCCAGATAGCATGCCAAAAAGATATGCCAGATAGAACGCGCGGGTCCGCCTGTCAGTTTATGCCAGAATATACTTGAAAATACTTGTTGGATTGCCAGAATAAATACTATAGACGATAAAATGCTGACCTGAAGACCCTCGGGCCCACGGGCCCGCGAAGGCCCACGGGCCCGCGAAGGCCCACGGGCCCGCAGAGCGCGCGGGCCCGCGGAAAGAAGGGCCCCGGAGGCCCGCGAGCCCGCGGGCCCGCGGGCCCGCGCGGGCCCGCGCACGTCTTGGGCTATCAGGGGACGTATCAGCCGCATGCCAAGAACAACCATAAGGGATCATAAGGGTAAGAATTGCTGATCCAAGAAATGATAGGGCAACGAGTGGATAAATAAAATGAGACAATGCCTGAACGCACACAGGTGATAAGTATTTTGCGCAGTTCAGGCATGCGCAAACTATTTTGAATCAAACATCCTATCCCATCCACGGACTGTGACTTAGGCTGGTAGTTTCTGGCGTATGGCATTTCCCTGTGGTGCGTGGAGGGCAGGTGCTTGAACAAACCTGCTGTTATTCCATCATCCTTCCAGCAACTTGCGCATGTAAATAGATAAATACACACACACACATATATATATACACATCTATGCGCGCATATCATTATGTGTTGTTGTCAAGGATATCCAGGTGTAAGATGAGTGACGGAGTGGAAAGGAACACGGTAGTGATGTAGCTGGCCTTCCCTGGTTAGGGAACTTATTTTGTTGACCTTCCCTCGGGTTTCAGAAATTCTTTACGCTGGGTGTGCCCTCTCATGTCAAATCACTTTTAGTTGCGAACTTTCTAGTGTTTCTGCCAAATGTAGCGGAGGCTGCAGTCATTGCCAGCTGTGAAAAGCAGGTTCAACGGAACAAAGGGCTCCTGTTGATAAAGCATCTGGATGTGTCTGGTACCTAGACGTTCAGCCTGACAGGCGAGTGTTGCTGCTGCGAATTCGTATTCCTGAGCCTATCCGTGACTAATTACTCCAATTTTAGATTCGAGCCTTTCAAACTGGCAGTTGCAATCTTTGGTCTGCACGTTCCTTGCTTTTACTGTATCCTTTTGCTTGAGCACCAGCTATTTACGGCAACACATAAGGTGTTTGTTGGCTCATTGAGACAGTGACGCCCAGGCTTGGTGCACAGGCTCCGACAGAAGTAATTGTGCCTGGCCCTGGAAGGGGAGATGCAAGTGGTATCAATGTTCTGAAACTCTCACTCGAGTTGCTATCAGCTGCTACCACAAAACGTCAGAAGTATATAATACGTGACCATCAGCCAGGCACTAGACTTGCCTGTAAAACTGATACCACAAAGAGAAAAAACATTCAATATTATATCTATTTAGCTATCTAGCTATCTAGCTATCTAGCTTGTGTATACTGAATATTGTTTTCTAATGCAGTAAGGAAAGATTTATTTTTGCAATGCCGGCACGGTTGAGAGTTGGGGTTGTTTTTTTGCGGCAAGGCTTCAGGGTGTGAAATGCGTGTCCTTGCGGCCTTTGTGTAGCATGACAATATTTCGCGAGGATCATTTGCTTGGCGAGGGGTGTTGACTTGATAAGAGCTGATGCCTTGCATTTTTTCAAAGAAAACCATCAGCCCCGCATGAGCAATTCGATTCAATTGCAATCCGTTCTAACTTCTCCTATTCCCACACTTCTAACGAGTGCATCCCCAGTCATCATCCATATCCATCTGCTGGCCTGAAGATCTATGTCATGATCTTACAAGGACTTCATGGTCTAGGAATGTCGGGAGACGCACCTTCTACATCCCACATCCCTCCAATGCCTGGCACCAACCAAAAGCTTGGCTCGAGAAGCTGAAAGCCTCATGTCTGCGCTTTCGACGTCTGATGAAACAGATGCAAGCAGTGATAGGGCTGGCGAATCGGCCGCCGCTGAAGACTTGAATGATGAGGCTTCACTCCCTGGGAACCTTCGCGCACATTTAAACGCACAATAACACACACACACAGGAAACAAATCTGCACATCAATGCACACATGAATAGAAATCAGGTGTATCCGAGTACGGAGAGAAGTTGACAATTTTATAAGGAAAACAGGTGCCATCCATCGCAGTTCCAGTGCACCCTGAGGATGCGGATTAATGATCAAGGCAGTATTTCGCGCCTGCATTCGAACTACTGTAAGACAGGAATGCATTGCATAGAACTCACATGTAGTCACATTGATCTGCATGAAATAGGTGTGTAGAGAACTTGTCAAATGAGTATGGACTTGCCTCACTACTTTTTTTCCGTCCACTATCCTTGGTGGATAGTCATTTTGCACTGCGCCCTTTCTCTTGCCAGTGACTGATATTTCGCTTGTGCTTGGTTGTATTGGCCGGATAGTACTCGAGAAAGGCTTTAATTTTGATTTGCATTCCGAGGGGCGTTTTCAAGGGGCACAAACTGCGCAAACTCAACGGTGTTGACTCTGCTGATGTTGCTGTGTTTGATGCGTTCTAGAGGCAGAGCAGAACGAGGACAACGCTTCTGTAGCCGGCGACGAAGATGATGTCAATCAGATAAGCAGTGAGCTGAGCAAGTACCAGCTGCTTGGAGGTCAATTAAGTAGGGTTACTTTGAAATACTTTGAACTTGCTCAAAAAACGCGTCGCTGTATATAATATGTATAAGATGTAATAATACATGTAATACATATATAGTTATATGTAACATATATTTTTGTTTCACCTCGCCCAAATGACGCAAGAGGTCCTGAAACCTGTTGCCTATATTTTCCCATTTTCCCCCATACACACATACTTGTTCACACACACACATATAATATATACACACAGCTATATATGGCCCAGTGTCTGGTGGTCCCATCATCCCCCCCGAGATGGTGATGGTCCCTATATGTATATGTAAGTTATATATATATATACGCAGATGTAAGTAGTGTGTGTATATCTGTATATATATATGTTGATTGGTAGGGAGCCAACCAAGTTCAAGGCACTCGAAGTCCTTGTCCAGCAAATCGCGAAAGGCAAGCAAGGCCTTTTCCTCGAAGACGTAGCCAGTTGGGTAGCTACAAGATGCCCACCCATTCTTGAATGGAAAAAGCGCAATGGAAATGACATCTGCCAAGGTCTATGACCAAATGAAAGTGTTCTCTCTCAACATGTGATGCTTCAATGCGTTGCATGGAGTGCAATCGACACGGAGAGAAAAAGGGGTGTAAGAAAAACATTCAAAAGTCACATGTCCGGCTCTCAGTATATGATCGTGTTGATGTAGGTTTCTCTCGGTCCATGCGCTGCAAAGAACTCAGCACAATCTTCAGCCAGTGTTTTGCCAGTATGCTCGTTTGGAACATGAGGAGGGGAATGACCATTCAAACAAAAGGAGCATGGGTTTCGAACAGTCACCTGGGCAGTATTGGCTAGAGCTCCACAATCTCGTGAGAAATGCCAGCAGCGTCCTGAGGGCGCATAGAAAGTCTGAAATTGATTCAAAGCATGAAGTTCCACCAGCGTTCTATCCAGCAAACCAACTGCCTTTCGAGTCACCTGTCGATCGTGAGCACGGTCTCGCTCACGCAACTCATCCTGTTGACTCAGTTCGAACTGAAGGCCAATGTTGTGTCCTTCAGCCGTAACGGCTCGGTCAGTGAGTCTTCTCCGATCGCGCTTCAAATCCAAAATGATATTCTCAGCTCCCAGCAGGTGCTGTCGCATATGTTGCGTCGCGCATCGCCAAGTCAAAGAAATGATTCCAGAAAGCAGTGCCAAAAACACGGCAAATGAAACCAGCAGTGGCCACCATGACTTGTCTGCACGGTGGTACGCAAACTCTTCAGCTGCATCGCACTGTCGCGATTCCATTCCAGAACCAAATGGCGCAAATGGCACCAAATCAGTGCCGCCAGAAATCATCGGCAAAACTGCTGCAAGAAGAAATTGAAAAATGGGGCGCGCGCCATGGCTCGGCCGGGCAAAGGTCTCCTCAGAAACTGCCGCATACTCAGCCATCATGGCATACTCAGAAATCTCGACATTCTCAGAAACTATGGCATTTTCAGGGACCGTGTTATTTTCAGGGGCCAGGTCATTCTCATCAACATCATTTGAGACCGGGGACATGTTATTCACAGGCACGTCGTCATCGGCTGCATTGTGGTTGTGTGAAAGTTGATTGTGGTTTGTTGTAGTCACTGTAGTTGTAAATTCATTCCTGCTTTTCGCTCTCTGAGCTGCTGTCTTCTTCTTGGAGGCGGTGTAGCCAGGATCAAAAGTGAATTTGATCGCACCATGTCTGATTCGATCGGCTAACAGTTGGCGGGCTGCCATTTTGGTAAAACCATCTCCAAACTGCCGTTCAGAGGAAATCCAACGTAAAACACCTCCAATACCTTCTACCTGCTCTCTAATCACTCTCAACTCCAAATTCGTGCGCTTGTCGGTCGCACCATGGTTGATTGCATCTCTGTGAAAAGAATCATACAGTGCTTTGGCGTCAGTGATGGGTGTTGGAGCCAAAGAGGGATTGGAAATCTGCAAGGTGTCTTTCAGGCTGGTAGTTGGATTCAAAAGCATATGCCAAAAACGAACCACAAACTCAGTGCTATCCACGGCTTGGGCTGCAGCTTGAACTTCGGCTGCGAGGCTTGACCTTGCCACACGTGGCAAACGAAATGAGCGCCAATCCAAAATATGGTAGGGGGACTCAACGCCCTTAAAGGCCTTTTTGTTGGTGAGCAAAATCAAATAGCCACCTTGACTGGATTGATCATGTCGAACGCCAAGCGCTGCATCAAACATGCAAGTGATTCTGAGATCTTCCAATGCACCAATTGGAGGAAACTTCAGATGAAGGTCCGCATTGGACTTTGCAAATCTCAGCAGCTTGTTGGCTTCTAGCAAAGGGCTTGATAAACCACCGCTCATTTCACCGCTCAGCAAGGACGTAGATGCTTGGATGCGAGGAGAAGATTGAACTGCTGGCCATTGAAGACTGCCCAGCAACTGTCGCAGCATCGTGTGCTCTTTGTCAGACATCGGTTGATGTGTCTGTCTGTCCTTCTCCACTGGCAATGGCTGGATCTTGTGGATATAGATGATATAGTCCTTGTGGCTAATGCGCCAGGTGCCATCATCATCCCTCTGACGCAAGGTATGTGTCAGACTGTGGATTGCCTGTGCCCAGCATGTCATCCACATGAAGACAAAGAAGTCCACATAGAACTGGCGTTGAACCTTCAACCGCAGGCTCATACAAACACCAAAGGCATGGGTCCATTGGATGTGGGGTCCAATTCAAAGACCGAAGACGCCTTGATGCTTCAAGATACCACCTCTTTGGAGCGTCCAGCTGTCCGTAAACAGGCTTGTGCGAAAGCATGCGGGTGTTTTCGTCGCCACCCAAAATATTCAAAGCATCAGCTGGGAGTTTGACCCACAAAAGTCTCTCTTGAGGGAGCCCCTGCAAAAACGCAGTGGAAACATCAGCGCTCCATCCGCACCATCCCAAACAAGATGAAATACTCAGCAAACAAGATCTTCCAAGCCAGGTAGAAGCTGGTGAAGCTGTGTCCAATCTGCCAGCCAAAGCATCAGCGTCGGTGTATCCTCTGACAACCAAACGTGCTTTGGCTCTTGGTGTCCCGTCGGCATTCTTCGCCCACTTCAGCAAAATACGGCTGGTGAACGTCCGATCAGGGACAGCTTCACGTGTGGTCTGAAATGACAAAACACCATTCTCGAAAAATGATTTCAGCTCCTTCGCCTTGGCTTGATGAAACATAATCTTGTCCTGCAAACTCAGGTTGCGCTCTGAGATGTCGTTCTTGTTCTGGTCGCGCTTGATCATGCGCTTTGCATGGGTTTTCTATGGTTTTCTGCTTCTTGCCCAGCTGCTTGGCTGTGGTGACCGTGTATGCATGCATGCCCATGTCTTTGCGAGTATCGCCGTTGATCTGGAAAATTGTGCAACCAATCCAAGGCTTGTCGAAGGCTTTGGAGGGATCATGGATGTTGTCACAAAAGTGCTTGACATCATGGGGTCCTTGGCAAACTGTGACCCTCGAGTTGTTGAGCTTGTCAACTGGCACTGGTAGATGTTCTTTGTCTCGTAAAGACATGGAATTGATGTCAAACTGAGTTCTGCGAGGAACGACATGATGCCTGATGAGACATCCGGCTTTCACTTCCCAGTAGTCTTTGGAGGTGTTGCTGAGAACGATGTAGCCATTTTCCACATGCCATCCAGGGGAAGAGCAGTGTGCTCCAAATCATCGATGTCGAAGGCCGAAAATCCATGGCCAAGATTGCCAAGCTCTGAGACCGAAATGGTCTTCTTCTTTGGGAGGTTCAGAGTAGGGCCCAGCGCCATGAGTATCAGGAGGCCTGGGAGGAGCTGGCATTGCGGTACTGGATGGTGGCATGGCATTTGATGAAGTGGCAGTGGTGGACTGAAACATTCGTCCTCTGATGGGTCCAAAAGACATCGTCTCTTGTCGTTCCAGTCGTCTGCGATGTGCTCGAAATTCTTCAGCTGTCGCAGGCTCATAGTATGATGCAGTGACAGGGTCAAGTTGAGCAGCTTGTGGCAGTCGTGGTGGTTGTGGTGTCTTGGGACTCAGCTCTCGAGAAGGTTCCATAGAGAAAGGAACTTGGCCGTCAGCTTCATCGCCCTGCATGTCAGACTGTGGGACGTCTCCATCTCCAAGCTGCTCAGGCTCCAAAAGTCCAAGTCCAGGAGCTTGGGGGTCGACCGCAAGTCCAGGCGGGTCGCCACCGGCAGCTTGTTCCTCAAGTCCAGGAGGAATCTGATGCTGATCCCGAAGTCCAATGGGATGTGGTTGTTCAGCATCATTGGCAATGGAGGATGCCACAGATGGAGAGTATGGCACTGAAGGAGGAGCAGGAGTAAAGTCCAATTCCCGCTCGATTTGTTCAAACTCAGAAATGCCAAGGGCTTCACGTTCATAGACGGCAGGGTCGACCAGTCTTCTCTTTGGGGATGGTGGATGATCATCATCACTGTCTCCATCATCCATCATCTCGTCGCCAGAGTCCACATCATCGATGTCGCGTTTGTTCTTGATAGTCAGGTCGGAGTATCTGGTGACTCCTCTAGATTTCAAGGCTTGTAGCATGTCCTTGGCCACTTGGAGATCGCACCTCAAGGTGGAGGTGCTGCGGCCAGTTTCAGGTCGCACATGGTGAGGAGCGCATCGAAGTAGTTGGGTCTTGTGGCCAATCCAATCAACTCGAGGACGGCCATCATCGTCGTCCTCACGCATCAGGACCGTTGCTGGCCCCTTCCACCTGATTTTCGCAAGGTCAGCAGCTCGGGCGTCTCTCCAGTAAAAGCAAGTCTGGCCAGGGGACAATGCAATGTTGGTGCCAACATATTTTCGAAGGAGTGCCCTGCGAAGTTTCTGATCAGCATCGGCCTGAACAATGGCCATCTTCGCCACAGCTCTGCGGGACAGTTCGTCCTCAAAAGGTGTGTCCAAGTGCACTGGAGTCAGATTGGTGCTAAGGAGCTCTCCAGGGAAGGTTGGTGATTGACCCAAAGCCCACTGAGAAGGAGAAAATCCAGAAGTCGAAGGGTTATTGTTCAACTGGGGCACCGGGTAGGAGAGAGCCTGCAGAATGGCATTGGAACTCCAAAGTGTGAGATCCAATGCCTTTCAAGCGCCTGGATGAAGTCTTGAGAACGTTCGCCAGCCAGCAAGTGCGCCATCATGAAGCGCGTTCCCTCATCCACAACTGAGAGAATGGGGTGTTTGTTGTTGCCATTCTTGATCCACATGGTGTCAGCTTGAATGCTCTGGTTGAACTTGCAAACAACTTTGGTAGATGCTGGGGCGACTTGATTGGGTTTTCGATACTTCAAACAGGCATGGCACTGGTAGCTTCTGGCCACATTCAAGACAGCCTCGGAAGCTCCCCTGGATTCCAGCATCTGATCAAGTGCAAAGGTCGTAGGATGGCCAAGATTTCGGTGGAGGCGCTGAACTGCAATCACAGCTTCGGCTTTGTGATCAGTCATGAGCTGGATGATCTGCCCATGGATGGCCTTCTCCTCGTTGACGGCGAAGGCAGTGTCCCATGCAGTTGGAACTTCAGGAGCAGCAAGGCATGAAGCCAGCACAGCAGCCAAAGTGGGCTGGTAATCTTCCAGGTAGCTGGCTCTTGCTCTTCCAAAGCCAGGCATTTGACCTTCAAGTTGGCAATGTTGATGGCCACGGTCGCATCGAAGTGTCATAGCCTGTGCAGCTGCTCGCTTTGAAGTCTGCAAACTGGTAGACTTCTTCACCAATCGCCAAGCCATCTTTGTCAAGGCAGCATGCACCATATTTGCATTGGTCAAAAGCGACCCTGTGACCTGGAAGTCGACTGAGAGCTTTTGTTTTCCAGCTCAACGCAGCTTGAGGTTGTTCTAGATGTGCATGTCGGCTATCTCGAACCTGTCGGGTGTAGATGACCTTGCAAAACTGCAGATGTACATCATGGTGGTGTTGCCGCTGGATGGATAGCTCTTCACGTTTTTCAGGAGTCAAAGCATTGATGGACTGCATTGGTGACCACAGTCCACATCGGGGAGCCAAGTAAACTTCATCGGGCATCTCCTCATCGAGCTTCTTCAGGAAAGTTCTGCGATGGCTGGGGTCATCAAAGTCCCAACCAGATTCATTGATTCATATCCAAAAACTTCAACTTGGCATCCAAGAGTTTCTGCAATTTGCGACATGCGGGATTCCCCAGCATACACTTCCCATGAGAAATGCAGATGCGCCAGGATCCAACATCGTGCAGTCAACGCGAGGCTTGCCATCCACATCTTCAAAGATGACATGTCCATGTTCATCAAGAGGCTGTAGGATCGCCATACCTTCAGTGTGATGCTTCTTTGGGCTTGGAGACGTCGAAGAGGGTGGTGCTGAATGCTTTGGAGTGCGTGGACACTGAGCTGCTTGATGGCCCCTAGCTCCACAACGCAGGCAGTGAGTGATGGCAGCAGCACGTCCTCTGGGGTCTGGAGGCTTGCGGTCACCTGGAGGAGGATATCGGACAATGTTCTTGCCCTTGCCACGGCCACGGCCTTTGGCTTTGCCACCGCCACCATAGCCTTTGCCACGTCCGGTTCCAACTGGTGTCTGTGAACTTGAAGACGTCGGCATGGTACCTTGATCTGCAAGAGCTACCACTGGGTAAAATCCACGAGACAGCTTCAGGTCCTGGAATCTTCGTGTGGCGTCAAGGTACGCCGCGTACGCTTCGTCGTACGCTTCAACATCGTACTCTGCATCTTCAACAGCGTCGTACTCAGCATTCTCATAGTACGCTGCATCAGCATCACACTGAGAATCATCCACCCAGCTGTCATCAGCGGCCATATACCCAGGGTCGTACTCATATTCAACGTAGGCCTCATCGTCAACGTCATATTGGTCGTCATCATCATCGTATTGGTCTGCAGCAGTGTAGGCTCCACGGCGGAAAAGTCTGCCTGAACCAGGTCGTCGATGGTCATGGGAAACTGCAGAACAATGATCTTGACCAAGAATCAAGTACAAGGCTTCTTGAATCCTGAGTTTTTCCATTTTCGAAGCCTGTGTGATGATCATCTGTTTCTGTTCCTTCGTGGCATTGGACTTCTTGAGCAGCAGCCATCCTTGGACTTCGTCAGGGATTTGAATTCCATGTCAGTCCTTGAACTTTTCGAAGCTTCTCGTCATGCTCAGTGACGTATGACAGCAGTGTCTCACCTGGTTTCCTGGAGAGGTCAGAAAAGTATGCATCAAAATCCTGTGGAAGTCGAACCCTGCTGTCATACCTGAAAGCATCAAGCAGTTTCATCAAATCATCAAAAGTTCCTTCTTTGTCGATCTTGTCCAAATCAAAACCTTCTACAAGTTTCCATGCTGTGCCCTGCAACGATCCAATGATGTTCAGGATGCTCTCGGCAGTGCGTTTCTGCAACTTCATTTTGAGATGGTAGATTCCTATTCGTTTTCTCCATTCTTGATACGAACTAGGCTGACCATCAAAAACTGGGATGTATGAGTCCTTCAAACTAGTCCCATCATGGGATGCAGGCTGAGAGGCTTGAGCTTGGGACGCAGCAGCTTTCGGTGCGGCTTGTGGTGGCATCTTTGATGTCAGTAATCCTCGGACCTTCAGTCACAATGATCAAGCCGGAAAGCTAGAGCAGGAAGTTGAAGTGTAGATGAAGATGGAGTTAATGTCAAAGGGGATGTTGTCAATGGAGTGGAAGTAGCGCAGCGGATTGGAGCCAGAACCCAATGGCCCTGGCTCCGCTACCAATGTTGATTGGTAGGGAGCCAACCAAAGTTCAAGGCACTCGAAGTCCTTGTCCAGCAAATCGCGAAAGGCAAGCAAGGCCTTTTCCTCGAAGACGTAGCCAGTTGGGTAGCTACAAGATGCCCACCCATTCTTGAATGGAAAAAAGGCAATGGAAATGAAATCTGCCAAGGTCTATGACCGAATGAAACAGCACTCTCTCTCAACATGTGATGCTTCAATGCGTTGCATGGAGTGCAATCCACAATATATATATATATATATATTGTGCGTGTATACGTATGTAGTATGTGTATGTGCAAATGTATACAGTATGTACATCAATATGTCTATGTATCCCTCCCCCCTGTGGATGTGGTGGGGGGTGGGACATACATGCATACATACATACATGTATGTATGCAAGTATATTCATTATATTCATTGCAGTGACTTGAGTCATTGAGATGTCTTGCTTGGCCCCATCAGGAAATCGATGGGGGCGAGTGCAGGGGATCGTGGGAATATGCCTTTTCTCTTTCGCAAGTTGAATATGTACCACCGTAGGGCCGGGCGGGTCAAGTGTTTCAAACGCTGAGGAGCGTCTATGAGCAAACTTTCGACAAGATTCAGATACCCAGTGATGTTCTTCAGGACATCAGCGAAGCTTTGTAGCTTGCCACGTCCTAGGAGGTCGGGACTGAAAGAGCAAGGAAAAATTGTATGGTGGCGACTTCTGGGCCCCTTTCGTTTGAGCAAACACGCCTCGAATCAAGCGAGAGTTCAGATTTGTTAGGTGTCAGGATGATCTTAGGTGCTTATTTGCAATTCTTTAACTTTAGTAGTTTGTATGTTGATGTATTCAAGTGTTTGAAGTGTTTTAGACATATTTTTCCCAAAACCTGGTGTTTATCTCCAGTGCCGAGGCAGATGTTCATTGCAACTCAAAGCAACTCTAGAGAGACTGCTGGGGATGCAATTTTCAATGCAATTTTCGAAGCAACCCCGAGCCTACAGACACTGCTCCTTGGCAAAGCTCTTGATTTACGTCACATTGCTAGAGCTTTGACTTTGCAGTTGATATGCATGGGTTCATGGGCTGCAAGAAACCGTTATTGGCTTTAAAGCCGACAGTCCGGTAGCATTCGCTACAGCCCTGGCTCCTCAGCTGTGAGCCACTATCAGCATGTCCCCAACATTCCTCAACAATATTCCAGGAACTTGCCACGATCACCCTTTTGGTCTCAGGTTCAAGTCCCCACGCCCAGTGATGGCATTGAAGTTCTGCTCAGCACTGGTGGGCCTGATCAATGCGGCCCCAAAGCCGGGAGCATTGAAGACTGCAGTGGAGACAATAGGATTTCAGCACTTGGATGTGGATACATGGCTGAATTTGGGATTGCTTTGACGACCTGGCATTTGAAGGCTTCACCCGGTTGACCCTATTGAGAGAATATTCCTTGAGTGCCCTGTTGGCTGCGCGGATGGGAATCAGAGCTTATCAGGTTATCATACTTCATCGTTGACAACAGAGTAAAACAACTACATACAGCTACCAAATTCTGTGGTTCATGTGGAGACGGCTGGAGCCCGCAAAGGCAGGGCTTGGACGGAAAACTTACAGATTTGAAGGTCTTTCAGACTGAGGTTGTTTATCCATGTCCGGGTTTATTTTTTAATTTTAGATATTTCAAGTCAGGTATAATTAGATGCCAAACCCACTATATAAGCCTAAGCCTTTACAGTGAAGATCTTGCAGGAAGGCGGAGTGTGCCCAGGTGCATTTTCACGCAAAGTGGACATGTTTCTGCCCCTTGTCAGCCTCTTGTGTGCCAAGGAAGTAACCGCTCCTCGCATGGATGTGTTCCGAGAAGCTATTTTGGAACTCTTTGAGCAGGAGCGGAAGAGATGATGGATTCCCTGAATGATGGTTGCAACCACGTTTGAAGCGCTTCGTCGCTTCCTTCTAGTCCCAGCAGAATAGTCAAACCAGATTAAATCAAACATATTGAAGCGCATCATGATCCATCATGGCAAATCGAGACTTCACCATGACAAGCCTCTTCATTCTTGGTTCATCTTCAGATGGTGCTCCGCATACTGTATCACTGGTCAATCCGATTCAATCTGCACAGGAAGTTGGGCCAAAATTCACCACCAAAGCTCGCTTTGGTTTCCAAATTCTCCTGAACTACACCGGTGGTGCTCTGATTTTCATCAGACGCGAGCAGCTTTGCTGGAAATTGAAGCAGGATGCGTCAGTGCCAAATTTCAAGTACACATTGTCCTTCGCATGTTAGACACGTGTCTTTTGCCCCAGGTATGCCAGCCGGATCCGAATCATTCAAAACAGCGATCTGGCCGCAAGACAAAGTGAGTGATGAAGGGTAGGTCATCAAAACTATAGCCACTTTATTTCATTTGGAATGGCTGGGAGATGGTGTTTAGAGCCTTGCTGAGATAAGGCTGGAAATCTGCCAATACGAAGGCAGCAGGGATAACGGATGTGCGAGAAGTGATGGCATCGCCGAAAAAGGAGAAGGCTCCGTTGCCTGGGGCGGATGACAGTCTATGTTTGCGTATGTTTGAGCAGTTGAGGGTGGGAAAGCTAGGCTTGGACATGAAGATAGACCGCTGTTGCACCACCACACCACACATGGAACACGTCAGTTCATTGTCAGCGCAAACGGGGATCTCAATTTGAGCTGGGATGCCCCAGTAGCAAACCTCCTTTGCAGGGCGCAAATTCTGACAAATGGGAAGACGAGTCTGAAGCAGATGTGGATCTGGAGCTGGCAGAGATGACAAAGACGCTTTGTGCGGTACATGGCGGCTATTGTGATATCAAGATGTATGATGATGTATGACATAATTTCCCTGCAAATCCTCTGACCAGTTGATATTTTTTGTGGTCTAACAGTCTAACAGTCTAACAGTCTAACAGTCTAACATCCTCACATGCAACAAGCAACGGAGGACTACGGAGGGAATGATGGTGCCCAACTCCTTCAATGACATGTTTCTCTTCAATGCGGCAGTGATGGGCTTGAGCAATAACGACTGGATGATTCTGATCTTAGATCAGTTGGATGCCATTGCCTTAAACGTTGCCAACCCATACCGCTTGCAAGAGGAATGCTGCTTGCTTGAACTCTGGCGGGGGAGCAGCTCGTAAGTCCGTACAAATCATGCAATGAGAGTGGGTGAAAGGAAATAACGCCGGTATCACCATAATTATCCATAATAGTGAGGGAAAACCATGGAAAACGTGCAGTATCTGTCGCAACAGCGGTGAGTTGACGTTGGAGATGCTTTGCTCCACTGACGAACCGAGGTGACGTCTTGGCGTTGGTGCTATCAAGATACCAAGGCAGTGGTGTTGTGAAAGCACAGCATGTGCAATGCATGGCACGTATTTGTACCATATCTGCAATGGCACAACCTGGTGGGCAGGTAGTTTTGTCCTGTCGGAGTTCAAGGCGGTGGTCCTAGCCTCTCTGAGGTCGTTGGTCTCCACCGAGTGGGATTCTGACCATGAGGTGCCCTGGAAATCACATGAGAACTCTTGAAGCCGGGATGATGCCCAGATGTTTCACAAGATTCATAAAGAATCATAATGAATCATATAAAATCATATAAATACTGTATACTAATTGTATAGATATATAATGATATAATGTAGATATATAATGTAGATATGTAATATGGCCATTGGTGGCCGTCCCACTGAGCAGCAGATTTCAAACACTACTTTCCTTTGATGCACCAGTGACTTGTAGCACATCAGCAGACGTCATTGCGGAGTCATTGCGTATGTTGCGTCAGGTTGCCTGGAACTGGCTTTGGCAGTTTCTTGCCTGGAACCTCTTGTAATTGTAATGCTACTGTAAGGTAGATGTCAGCAGATTCTGCGTCTCACAGTCAAGGCAAATCTGACGGTCAGTTCCGCTTTGGAGAAATGAGACCCATGCCAGACGCCAAGGAACGTGGAGCGCCTACTGAAGCAGCTTCTTGGAAAGCCACCAGTGCCTGGGCAGAGACCTTCGAAGCTGTGTGAAGCGTGGGCACGGTGTGTACAGAGGCAGTGAATACGAAAAGCCCAGCATGCAAAAAGCACTTGGTCAGATTTTGTAAATGTGTCAAGGGCGCCCATCACAGAAAACGATAGAAAACGCACCATTTTCGAAAATCATGGAGAACTGCTTTCCATCATACTCAAGTGCTAGCATGCTAGAATTTCAGCTTATCTTGCGTGTCTACTGCGCGAGATCTGACCGGAACTGTATTTGCCAGCCATTCTCCTTGACCTGAAAAGGTTGATCTTTGAATTCCCAATCAATATGTGATAACATCAACCCGTCAATAGACCCCAGTTTCCTCATGGGGGGGAGGAGTAGCTAATTCATCAACCCAGTTTATTTACGAAGTGTTGACATCACCATGGACGGTTGGAAGATGTTGGAAGCTTCTTGACATCACTATGATCTCCTCAGATCTCCTCAGATCTCCTCAGATCTCCTCAGACCTCTAAGGTGCACGAGAAGGCCTTGACAGAAGTGCTCACGAGACTACCAGAGGAGTCGATGACACAGCTCCGACAAGAATTTTTCTTGAACTTCTTCAGGTTGGCGCCCACCGGCCAAGACTTTTTTAAGCAGTCGCTTACCAGGTTGTACTTCATCGCAGATTCTTGACATGATTTTCAAGTAGATGAGTTTTGTTTTCTCTCTTAATTCTTAACCTTATTCTGGTTTTAGTCTAGCAGCTTAGCATGATTATATGTAATTATATACCTTGTAGACTTGGTATGGTATTGGCAAGAGGGTTGCTTGCAGAACTGTAAGGACAAAATCATCGAGCTGTGTAGTGAGATCTACCGGCAGCCGCGGGCGATGGTGGAGGACTGGCAAGCTTAGCCCTGTTCCTGCTGTGCTGGTATTAAATTACTATATCATGCCATTTATTTATCCCATCATATCCCATCATATGCATTCATATCCCATTTTTTCATCATGCCTTGTGTACAGCCGTGCCATTTTGTGGCGCTTATGAAGGACATTAGTGGCCTCGGTTTGCGTCACGTGGGCTACGCCATTCCTGCCGAGCTCTTTGCTCCTTTCGTCAGCTCTGCCGTGAAGGTCTTCAGCACAGTCACCACCAACGAGACAGCCATCGCAGGCTTCACTTGGGCAATGCAACTGGTCTCCAAGACGCTTGACATCCATTTGGCATATCTGGCCTTGATTTTGGGGCACGGGATGGCAAATCAGTTACCGGGTACCGTTACATGCTCTCTCTCTCTCTTCTCTTCTCTCTCTCTCTCTCAACTAGTGAAGGAAAGAAATCAATGAAAAATCAATGCATATATGAATAGATAAGCCAAGACAAATATAAGCTTCGGATAGCTTCGGTGGTATCCCCAACAGCCGCAACGTTTTATTTTTACAAATCTTTCTGAAGCGTGCTGGGAAGCCAAGCGCTGGAAACACCTCAGCTGATTTTCCGTGAGTTAAATGAACCTGACCTGGCTTAGTTTCTGCAACCTTCTCCGGAACCCGTTGAACCTGACTTGGCTGTGCACCAAGGCTTCCTGGAACCTTCTCCTGAACCTCCGGAACCCTGTTGAACCTGACCTGGCTCTGCACCAAAGCCTCCGGAACCTTCTCCAAAACCCTGTTGAAACACCTGGCTTTGCACCAAAGCCTCCCACACCTGACCTGGCTCTGCACCAAAGCCTCCCAGACCTTCTCCGGAACCTTCTTCGGAACCCTGTCGAACCTGACCTGCACCAAAGGCTGCCAGACCTTCTCCGGAACTTTATCCGGAACCTTCTCCGGAACCTTCTCCGGAACCTCGTTGAACCTGGCCCGGCGCCTGCACCAGTGCACACCGGAGCTATTCTGGGCTGAAGACCCCATTAGCTTACGCTGTCGGGGAATAACAATTGCATGTATATGTTTAACCAAACCAGCAAATGAATACATAAATCAGTGGAAAAGCAAACGCATCAATGAATACACATATTCAATTGATTAATTAATTAGAGACATGTTGCACTTGTGTTCCACACACTGTACTAATATGTGTGCGCAGTCTTCATGCCGTCTGATATTTTTGACATTGTAACACGCATGTCTCCAAGCTTGATCGTTTCCCTTTTTATTTATGTTTGCACCCTTCACCAAGGATCTTGGTCCGCGCCATTTCTGAGGGCTCGACTGTTGTTATGAAAGCCATCAGTACAAACGATGAAATCTCGATGAAGAAAGCCATGGCCACCTCTGCACGTGGAAAGCGAGCTCAGGACCAAAGAGATGTCGTGAAGTCATGGGCACACCACCCAAAATTAGCAGCACGTTGGAACAGTATGGAACAATCATTTTTATTCATTTTTGGTATTTCTAACATTTTCTAACTAACTTTCAAACCATTTCTAACCTACTGAGCACGATCCAGCGGGAGACCATGCGTGAGTTGTGACACTGCAAAAGCTCTGATACAAAGTGATACATGCCGATCCTCCTATGGTGTACCCCAAGAGAATGAGGGGGCTGGGCCCCCTAAAAAGATCAAACAAATGAGCATATGAATTCATTTAAATAAGTATATGATATTGTAATCTATCTCATCAAAATCTCATGAAAATCACAAGACTAAAAGACATAAATTTTACAAGACTAAAAGTGTTATAAGATGCTATATAACAAAAAGGAAACTAACTTTTGAAAAACTAAATATGAAACAAAATGACAAATAAAGGTCCTAATGTATAACAAAAATGCTAGAGATGAATTAAGTTCTGAAACTGTACTGATTGCGCATATCATACTGTACAAATGTCTGTCAACGATCTAAGGAAATATAACAATCAATATTATGAAATAAAAAAAGCCGGGGCCTGATGTCGAACAGTTGCCAGGTGGGGGGGGGCCGATGCCATATTCTCTTTGTGTTTGTCCAGTGTGTGTTGCTTAGATTATCCTATCTTACCTTATGCCCTATCATTTTATTGACATTTTGTTCTTGGGCCCCTGCATTTTATTTTAGTTTTTAGGGTTCTACGCCACCCCCTCGCACCACACGGAGATCATGCCGCATCATGCGGCACATGCCTCTCACTAAGCCACTAAGATCCAAGCTTCAGATTTGGGACTTGCAAGCCACATGCTCCATGAGGAGCTCCTGAACATTTCCGTTGGTGCTCAATCAATCTCTCCCTTCTACTGGTCCATCCGTAGTGGCAATCTGAACAGCGCAAGGGCGATCCTTCAAGACCTGTTGACCATCCGAGCAGATCGTGATGTATATTATTATGCTTGCGACGATTTGTTTGTCCGCCATCCTGATGTGGTGAAGTATTTAATGACAGATGTGCCTGCCTTGCTCCAGACCCTGTTCAATGGCCTAGTGTGGAGGTCAAGATGGATCAGCAAAGGCCCCCCTTGGCATGACAGACGTCACGCAGTCATAACGCTGAGAAAGAATAGATACCTACAGAGGCACCTAGAGGTTAGTCTGCACAGATGCGGGTTAGATGAAGTTACATGCATGGATTGCAGCATCTCGTGTTTTCCTGTTCTCATGAATTTTGAATGTTTGACGCTCATTGACTTCAGCAAGTACGGTTGGGGCTATTGGAAAAGCATTGGGTAGCGTCATTCAACAAATCGCTACTCCGCTGCTCGGCTTTGTGCAAATCACCTGGAGGTCTTCGCAGGGTGAATTACTATGTAAAGCACCTTGTGCAGGACCTGGATGGTCAGCCCAGTGAGACATTGTCTTGGCTGGAGGACTATGGGGATCCAAATCTCATCAGCAGCTTGGATATGCTTTCACCATTTTTCACCATTTTTCACAACCTTTCACAACCTTTCACCATTTTTGACGATTTTTTTCACCATCTCGCAAGATTTGTTCCAATTCTCCCGGCATCCTGTGGCACAGTGTGGCACCCAGCATGGCCTAGTGGCCTTGTTGCTCTCAAGTCCCCCAAGTGCCCCCAAGGTTTATCACACGCCTTGAAAGCACAACGTACGAATACAGGAGACTCTTAGATGCTTCACGTTTCAAGCCTCGATGCACCATGCTTGATGAGGGACCCTATTCTTCGAAAATCAAGATTTGTTGATCATGTCCTTCAGGTCCCCCAAGCTAAGTGACAGAACTCCAACAAGAACTCAGCCACTTTCTCTCTGTATCTGCGTCGACGCTGGCAGCAAGGCCATGAGACTGTGGTGATGGTAACGGACATTTTGTGGGAAGGTATCAAGTTTCGCTTCCTACGACGCAAGATTTTCTTCTTATGGTCAATTTGTCTATATTTGGCCGCTTGGTTATTTATTAAATTTCTGGACTATTTTGGGTAAGAATGGGTCCATAATTTCACGTGTTGGTTTTAGATTCTTTAGATTTATATAAATAACGAATCACGAAAATATAGTCGGGATGACGTCTTGCCCAATACTTAGCGCTAACACACTTTTGTCATAGTGGTGCTGATGCTGTGCGCCTGCAGCATACTTAGGTGAGCCAGTCCATTTTATCAGCACTGGAACGCACGGAAGGAATCCAAGCGGCGATTTTTGTCTGTCGCACATTGATCTATGCCACGGCCGTTCCGAAGCTGTTGTATGACCAGGTGAAGCTAGTTTGTGAAGACTGCAAGACCGGCTACATGAACCGGGCTTGCCGCATACCAATTCCACAATCTTTGCTTGAGTGGCAAGGCGGTGGTTCTTTGATTTTGCTTTGGTTGCTCATTGTGGCTTGTCTTTAACTTGTCTTTCTAGATTTTGGAACGTCACCCATGCCGTCCCATGCCCATGCATGCAAGAAAGATAGAGCAATCTCTAGATCCAATCAACGAATCACCTCCCTCCCCTCCCCTAAATAGACAAGACTCAGTCATGCCGAGTCATGCCCCATTCCTGAATCCCAATTAGCCGGGGCCCTCCCAACCCAGCCGGTTGTGGAAATTCCAGATCTGAGCTTACCCTTCCCATCAAATTACCTGCATCATCTTCTGATCATCTTGCATCCCACAAAGCAGGAGAGAGCTTCAAAATGAATCAAAGCTACAGTGGTTGATCTTCTGAAAAGAGATTGCCGCATCAAGCGTATATTGGCAATACTGCAGCAATCCTCGGTCATTGGGTTATGTAGTAGTTGTTGTTAGTGATAGCATCGGTTCAAATTAGTACTTGGACATACTTGAATTTCTGCCCCTGGAAAGCCTCAAAAAATGCCAAGATATGCAGATACAATCTTGAAACAACGTCCACCCGCATCTATATAAATGATATAGACGCAAGCTTTACAATTTCGGCCGGAAGCTTGACACCCTTGATAATCCTAAGGTAATGTGTAGCCTGGAGCCATTCTATTGGTGCATGGCGGCTGGGACAGAGGACTTTCATACTGTGGGCATCCCCATGAATAGCAAAACGACGCGACCAGATGCGACCAGTACAGTAGGCGTTTCATGAAACATCAAATTTCCCTCCTGGCGATGACTGACTTTCCGACGCCTGCTTCAGTATCTTCAATTTGTTTTTGAATGCCCTATTCACAGATTTCACAGCGAGGAGCTTTTCTCTGACACTTGCGAGCAGGGTCAAGAATTCAAGCGGATCTATTCAACTTTCTCTTGCTGCTTGGCGTGCATCCCCCTTCACTTGAAGTCATCCCAGCCATGGTGGAACCCGTCCGCTTGCCCAAAATCGATATATTGGCACATTGGACATGTTGAAATAGAACGAAATAAGCATAGACTATAAATGAATAGTTGAATAGGCAAATAAATAAACGAATAAGACACATATTAAACACATAAATACATATAGAGAGAGAATAGATAACCACATAAACAAGGTAAATAACTGAACACGTATACAAGCCAGACACTTTTGACTTTTGACTGGGGCCGCTTCAGCTGTTTTCCAGTTGCCAGCCAGCGGCACGGCACATGCTAGCGAGTTGCCTCTTCCCGCTCGCTTTCGTCGTTGCGATTAACACGCAGCTTGGAACATGAGGTCCAATCAGGTTTCCAGCAACGACAAATTTTCTTTGCATGCATTTATTTTTGTGTGTGTTTGGCAGCCTACCACCGCGAGTGTTTGAGGCTTGGCCATGATGCTCTACTGGAGCTTGCTTTTGAGCATGAGTGTTTTCCACATGCCTTTTGGCGGCTATTTTTTTTTGTGGTTAATGCTGTGGTGCTACCCAGAAGGTTTTCTTTGGATGTTATTTTGTTGTGACATGTTGTCACCACATTTGCACCGGAACTTGGTATTGGCAGCTTGAGATAGCTTCAGATAGCTTGAATATATATATATATATGTTGTTGCACAGTCTACATGTACATACATCACTTTTCACACTCTACATGGTTGCGTGCATGGCTCAAGAAAAAGGTGCTTTGCGGGTGTACTATCTTTTGTGGCTGTTCTAGGCTTTTAACTAGTTTCTACAGGTTATCAGCCGTATCGCCAAGCGATCGCTGGTTTCCTTTGTCTCACACTTTTCGCTCTTACCTCCTAGTTTTCGCCATGTCTACTCCCCGAGCGTTGCCTGCCCCGGGCGGGAACGCCACGGCTTCGTTAGCACTGGTGAACACTACACAACCGGAGGAAGTGGTAATCCATTCAGGCGCGGCAACAACAGAAGGTGACATGAGTTACCAGGAAGAGGACTTTGACCCATGCCGTTACGATCCACGCAGGGACATGCCAGGTGTTTTGGATGCAAACATTGATATCAGTCAACCCAACACCATCAACTTCAACAACATTGATCACCGTACCGCCCACGTGGCAGTGGTACAGCAAGGTGTTGATCCAACCGTGGCAAGTCACTTGATGGCTGCACAGCAGCATGCATTTCAGAGCGAGGCCAATACACTTCGCTTGTGAGTGAAGCTCGAGACCAACTTGCAAGCATTGAACAACAAGCAGCCAATGAAATTTCCAGGAAGAACCTTTTGTTGAATGAGCAAGCCGCCCAGGCGATGAGCGAGCAGAAATCTGCTCAACTGCAAGTCAATGCGCAGGATCATCGCATCAGGGAACTGAGTGCCGAACTGACCCATGTAGTCAACAATGCAGGTGTCTTGACATCGTCTGCAGAGAAATCCAATGCTGATTTGCAGGCGGCCCGTTCGGAACTTGCAGAGTATCGCACTCAGATTGATGCTATGAATCAACACGCACTGAACATGCAAAAGTTGGGGCCGAATCTCAAAAGAAGGACTTTGAGGCAGAGATTGAAAAGCTTCGGAAGGAGCAGAAAGAGATCATTCGAAACTTGAAGTCTCAACCTCTGGAGGGAACTCCTGGACTCATGATCCACTACGGACCAGGAAAGCCCGTTCCAGAAACTTCGCAACCTTCGAGAACAATCATTGAGGAGTTGGCGTCAGGCAGCAAGAAGCCCAAGCATTCACCTGATGCTGATGATGAGCATTTTATGGCAGATCCCATCAAGCCGCCAGGACTTCCTGGTGGTGGACCTCCTGGAGATGATGACGATGATGATGACTTCAATGGCAAAAGAAGTCACAAGGACAAGAAGAGCAAGAAGAAGGGTCGCAAGACCAGCCGAGGAAGATCCAGGCGCCGTCACCGTCGGGATCCATCATCCTCACCATCTTCGTCTTCATCCCCTACCACGTCCAGTTCGGATTCTGAGAGTTCCTTTGCACGAAAGGTCAAGCGGGCCTTAGAGCGTTCTAGGACTACTGAAAATAAGGCCAAAGAGTCTGATAGGATCCTAGTTCCTAAGTTCCCCCAACCCGAGAATTATAGGAATTGGAGAATTCGAGTAAGGGATGCCATAATTGCAGCTTCAGCTAAACCTGATCTAGCCTTCCAATGGGTTGAAGAAGTTTTCAAGACAGATCAGTCTGTCGAAGCCTTGAAGGACTCAGGTAAGTTCGTGACCCTTGACGCAAAGCTCATGTCTTCGCTCACCAACATCTGCGAAGGGGACTTTGCACGACAGCTTGACATTTTCAAGGAAGAACAAGCCAAGTCAGGGACACCAGCTAGGGGACGTCAAGCATTGCTCATGATTCACAAGCACTTTAGTACTAGTAGGAAACATGGTGCAGTGTACGACATCGAGGACCTCATGGCTGTTACCTTAGTCAATGATGATCTCAGAGGTTTCATCACCCGATGGGACGCTGTGATCGCTGGAATGACTTCCGAGCCTGACATGATTTGGAAGCAAGCATACTTTCACAACGCTATCAAGACTTTCAAACCTCTCTCTCATGATCTGGCTGTGTATGATCGCACACCGGAGGGGGAACCCAACCGCTCTTATGATTTTCTCATGAAAGCTGCTAGGGATTACCTTGAGAGAAGACGTCTTGAGAAGATGCGACAGGCCACCAAGAAGTCGGTTTCAGGTAAGAGAGACGCCACACCAGCGCCCACCAGACCTTCGTCTGCGGGCAAACCCATGGGCATTTGCTATGACTTCCAGGCTGGCAAGTGCACTAGGGGTAAGGATTGCCGTTATAAACATGAAAAGTCTGACAAAGGGAAAGGCGGAGGCAAGAAAGGTAAATCCAGGTCCAAGTCAAGAGGCACTAGTCGGTCTTTGTCTCCGGGATCTAGGAATCAAGTGTGTAAGTTTTGGAAGGCAGGCAAGTGTCAACGTGGTAGTGACTGTGCTTTCCAACACCCTCCAAAGCCTGCAGCTCCATCTACCAAAGATGACAAGCGTGGAAAGAGCCAGAAAAAGAAGAAGAATAAGAAGAAGGGCGATCGTTCTAGATCGTCAAGTCGAGGTTCCAACTCCTCGAAGGGCTCACAGAGTCTCAAGGACAAAGGGGGAAAACCATCTTCCTCTGGCTCCGCTGCAGTTTGCCTGATTCACGCTCTGATGATGGTCGCACTCGTTAATCCTTCGACCAGTACTCATCGCGTGCCGGAAGGCATCGCCTCTCCGCACTTTTTCAACCAGCATTTTGCCATGCCAGTTACACCCAATCGCACTGTTTCATTTGGGGGCAACGATGAAATCTTCGAAGTTCCCATTGAGCAAAATTGTAATTTGAATCCGTGCCAAGCCAAACATCGAACTCACAATCCAGTTCGCATCACGAAGGACGATCGTACTCGTAAAGATACGATCGAGGCAAGAGAAAGTGATGCTATACTTGCAGCACAAATGTTGCAATCAGCTGTCTTTCGGGAGTTGCATGGAAAGCTTTGCAAATGCAGCTTTGAATGTGACAGTGATATCGGCTGTCGCCACTGCATCCGTTCCGACCTGAATGCCCTGCCAGGACACATGCCGTCCCAGCAGCGTAATGCATCCGCCGAGATTGCATGGATTGCAGACACTGGTAGTGCACAGGACTTGGTTTGCAGTAAAATGATTCCCGAAGAAGTTGTGTATCACTCTCATGAACCCCTTGAATTAATCACTGCAAATGGTTCTCAATCAGCTGACCAACAAGCTTCTGTTCATATTGACTGCATCGACAAAGAAGTTCATCCTTATGTTCTTCCTGATACCCCGGCTGTAATATCGGTAGGGATGAGATGTATTCAAGATGGATGGGATTTTGTTTGGAAAAGTTTTAGTCGCCCATATTTCAAGAAGAAAGATGGAACTAAGATCAAACTTGAAGTTAAAGATTACGTTCCTTATCTACCATCCAGAGATGGCCAGGTACCCGCTGCAGTAGGGATTCCATTTTCATGGGACTCCGCTGTGCCGGGAACGGCAAGCCCATCATCTCGCCTGTTCGAAGGTCTCGCATGTCAGCCGTTGGCACAGAGTCTGAGGATGAAGTTGAAGAGGTCGAAGAACCTTATGAGGCTTCCATCGCTGATGATGATGAAATTCCCGGACAAACCATCGACGATCTTGAGGAATTCTTTCCTGGTGAACTTGCTCCAGGACCTCCTGCGGCCATGACGCCTGATGTCATGGAAGGTTCGGAAGACGAAGGCGAAGCTCCTGAAGAACCAGTTGACGGTCGTCTTCAACTGCCTGAACCAAAAGCCGTTGATCGTGGTGAAGCTGCACTTCGCGAAGAGGCCAGGACTCTTAGGCCCATGATGACACATACCCCAAAGAACCCCTTCTGCGAAACATGCAAATGTGCTAAGATGTACAAACCAACCAAACGTAGTAAGGGAGAATCATTGACTGTGGAATCCAACAAGTTTGGGGATCACATCACTGGGGATCATCTTGTGACTAGGGATGCCAACGAACAATCCATTGATGGTGACAGAAAGATGTCGCTACGAATTTTCGGTGGATTTATCCTTCAGCTAGAAGTCATGCCAAAGATTGTGTTTTAGCTTTTAAACATTTTGTTGCACCCGGTGAAGAAGTCGGAGTATTCTACTCCGATGCCGCACCATCCATTAAGCTCGCTTGTCGGGAAGTCGGGTGGAGACAGAACACGAGTGTAGCTTATGTTTCTAAGTCGAACGCAGTCGCCGAGAGGAATCTCAGGTCCGTTCTCGAAGGGACTAGAGTTAACCTTGAACAGGCAGGGCTTCATCATTCCTATTGGAGTTATGCTGCACGACATTGGTGTATGGCACACAACATCCAGGACCACCCTGAAATAGTTTCTCCCTGGAACTTCGCTTTGGGGAAAAGTTCAAGGGACCCAACATTCCTTTTGGGGCTCGGATTGATTATTGGACTGGACCAAAGTTCAAGTTGTTCGTGTCAACCAACTTACCGTACCTGATGGACCATTTATTTACCCTTTGAAAGGTAGATATAAGGCTATTAGGGAAGGTTTATATGAAACTCTTAGCCTTGAAGCTCCTCCAGATCCTAAGAAGATGGATGCTCAGACAATCGAAGACCTGGTGTCTCCGAGGAAAGCTGTCGAGCCAGGACCTGTGGAGGGCGAAGAGGAATTTGAGCAGTTGATGCGGGAAGCTGGACTTGAATCCGATGACATCGAAGTTATTGACCCGAAAACTGGTAAGTCAGAATATATCTCTAAGGATGACCCTTCTTACTACGACTCTAGTGCTTTTAAGGGAAGACGCTACAAAGGTTCCACCAAACCAAAGGACATTCCAACATTTCTTTGGCGGGGGGCCTCTAAAGCGGCTAGAGAAAGAGCTAAGCGTGAAGCCTTGTTGAAAGAAGCAACCGAAAAGCATGATGCTGCAGTTGCCAAAGAACGTAAGTATTAGAGGGTTATTGATCGCTTTGCCACTTCAGCTGTTCCTGAACCCAAGATAGCCGATCAATCAGATGACTTCATTCCCGCAATGCCAGTCACCTTTAATCTGGGGGGCTCGCACGGTGTA